GATGATAAGTGGCAGAGCCATATTGGAATATGGTAGCCTTGAGCACGGACAGCGGCGATGAGCAGTGAACGGAGAAGGAAGAGATGGCAGAGGGTCTTCAATTCCAAACTTCGCTCTGTGTCCAGCGAGTTTGATGAATTTGGAAAAAGAAATGAGAGGGAAAAATATCTAATTAAAGTGGAGTGCAAAGTAGTAATTTCAGAAGGCAAAGTAGTAATCATACAATGCATGGGTAGCTCTCTCTCTCTCCCCCTTCAATCTCTCTCTCTCTCACTTGTATGGAATTCATGATATAATATGGTAAGGTAAGGATAGAACATCCCGGTCCCCCTCCCCCAAAAAAATAACGTGTGTTGCTATTAATTTAATTTATTTTTATATTGGTTAACATTATATTTTTTTAAAATGTTTGAGTTTTTAATAAAAATTATCTATATATGTTGTTATTCTTGATTAACATTAACTTTTTAATCACATAAAAATAGTTGACAAGGGCTTCGATCCTATAAAAAAGACAAAAGAAGTATTGGAATTCAATTTTAACAGTCAATTAATTAGCTGGTGATCATGTTCATAATTGGAAACCTAAATAATGCTTCTGTCATGTGTGATGCTCCTTTTAGGGATATCATGAATAAGCACTGCGTACCCGTGTGTGTACTCCCTGTGTCATGAAGTTATTGTTATTTCAGAAATTCAATGCCGTTGACCAAAGAAAATTATTATACACTTATTTAGTACATTCAATTTTATTTATAAGTTATTTTTAGTTACTTCACTAAAATTAAAAAAAAAAGGAAGTTAACTTATTGATATTTCTTGGAAAAAAAACCAAGAAAGAAAGAAAGTGACTTAATAGGGTAAAACATTTTACCAAAAAAAAAAAGGTAAAACAAAAAAAAAGTATTAAAAATTCCATCTTTTTTTATAACTATTCTATGCTAGTGAGCTCAATATTTGTTGTTTCTATTAAAAAAAAACTGGCGTTTACAATTATTTTAATTTATTGTTTAATTTTTATATTGATTAACATTATATTTTGTAATAAATGCTTGTTTTTGTTGTTGTTATTATTGCGATAACTTTTTATTTTATAATATTCATTAGTCAAATTATGAAGTTTCAACATTATTCCTTTTTAAATTTATACGAATAGTGAATTCTTTTTTTGAAAAAGGAAAAGCTACACATGCTAATAAAAATAATTGACAATGACCCTCCAGTCTTGTGGTGCTAGACGTGTCCATTGTGGCTTCAAGTTTTGGGTTTGGTAACGTACTTCCTCAAACATTATGCTTGCTTCCAAAAAAAAACAAAAAGAAAATTAAGGAAGCAGTTGTAAATTCCTCTCTCAGTTCTTGGTAATAAAACAACTTTACTTGAATCTTAGCTCCCATGTATTAATTAAAAAACTTTTGCTTGAATCTTAACTCTTATTATGGAAAATCACTCCAAGCTCTAATCTTCTCAATAACTTTTATTTTTATTTTTATTTAAGTATTATATCACCAATATTACCATTGGTTATTTAATATATGATATTGATATATGAATTGATATTAATGTAAAGAATTTAGGTGGCCATGTGATGTAGAACAAGATGGGGGACAAGGGTAAGAGAGAAAAAAAAAAAGTAGTGGGATAGAAAAAAAAATAGAAAGGAGAGAGAGAATATCATCAATATTATTGAGTTTTATTCTATAACACTTAAATTGTATATAATTGAAAACTCTAACTCTATTTATAAAGTTATAAAAATAATAAAATAATATATTTAAATTCTAAATTGAATTTAAAAAAAAGATATTAATAAGATGATAATATCCTATTTTTTTGAGTATAACTAAATCTAATTTACTAACTGTTAGTTGATTTTAAAAAATACAAATGACCTAAAATATTTAAAAAACTTAATCAATATTAATTTATGTAATTTATAAATTTGGATGAATATATATAAATAAAATATTTTAATTAATAAATATTAAAATATTTAATATTTTTACAATATTTATTGAATTTCATTGTAACAAGATTTCATGACACCCAGCATTCCCAGAAAAAGAGTTCAGAAGCAAATTAGCATTTAAGAATATGATTAGAGTCCTACTTATAATTGTGCATAGGCCCCATGCATGTACCGCGTTAACGTAAAATGACAAAGTAAATGAGTGATTAATACAAGAGGTTATTTGCTTTTCAGAAAAATGGTTAGGGGGAAAATTATCCCATTTATTTGTACAGGATGTTCAGCACTCCTCAAAAATAAGTTCAAGGATAAAAACAAACTTTAACACTTAATGTTATAAAAGGGATCCAACTCTTATTTATAAGAGAACTTTCATGTCTCCAAGCTATGAGACTATTGGCTTGCTTTATATATATTGTCATGTTTCAAAAATTAGACGTGACTAGCATAGGATATATGCACAAACACACATTCCTTAAACCTTAAGTCAAGAAACTTTTATACTTCTAAAACATAATTAGATTTACAATATAATGAAAGCTTCAATATTTTTATAGAAATTTCGAAAGAACATATCTCATAAACAGAACCTCCTAAAATTCTACAATACTTTAAACAAAATATTTAAATCAATTAGGAGCTTAGCCCTATCCAACCAGCTAATAGAATATATAACAAAATAAAAACCCTGACTATAACCTATGTGGGGGGCCTAGAAGTTAATTAAAAAAAATACAATTTTTATAATTCAAATTTACACCAAAAAGTAACTTAGTCTATAGGTCTTCCACTTCCCAGTTAGTGGTTAAGTCCTCAACAATCAGCAAGAAGTTTAGCATCAACTAATAAATCCAGCACCAAAAATATTTTTCAGTGAATAGTATCCTAAAAATGAACTTTAAAAGAGTAAAAATAATAAACTCAAACAATTATGTAAAGAAATAAATAAATAAATAATAATTCAATATAATAAACTTAATAAATTTGTAAATCTTAATCATAATCATAAAATGAGAGTATGCTAAAATTGCTTTATTCTATCATACTCGAAGAAAACAAATTATTCATATATAAATCAAATTAGTATACTTACTAACTGAAACCATTGAAATTTCAAATACACAAGTTGATTAAAAATTTAGAATTTTTTGAGGACTTAACAGAATAGGTAACAAATGTAGACACAAAGTCCATAAGGGTAAAATAACCAAACACGGCTTATGCCACAAAGACAGATGTAGACACACAGTCCACAAGGATAAATAACCAAATGTAACTTAAGCTACAAAACAAATGTGAACACATAGTTCATAAGAATAATGCTAACCAAACACGACCAAAGCCATGAAACAAATATGAGTATGAGACCCATGAATAACAAACGAGAAAACAAAGCTCACGAATATCAAACTAACTAGTCATTAACCATGACGCGCCAAGAGCTAACGGGACAATCGTTAGCAACTAGTGTTCTATATAAAATCTCCCTTCAAATCCATTTTCAAACATGTAAGAAAATTATTAATATAAAAATAAAATTTTTATTCTCAAAATTCAATTCGCATGAAGAATTTTAAGCATTAAAAGCTGGCCAGAATAAATTTCATAACTAATATCCATACTTGCATTTATTGGACAATCAAAATTTTTCAAAGCTAATCAAGATAATTTCATAAATTTTGAAAATAAGAATCTTAGAAAAATTTACATGTACCTGCCACATCACATTTATTTCATTGTTTTAATCTTATATTTCACATGATAAAATAATTTAATTAATAATATAACCAAATTATCATAATAATTAGAAATGACCTTCATAAAGATAGATGAAATTTTTCAATAAAAACTATTATTAGTAAAATAACTGGGATGCCATACACTTACTTGAAATTTTTTCAAATAATGTCCTCCTCTTACCACATTAATTGATTCCTCTCCTTCCTTCCACCTTCTTTTAAAATATATTAGGATCTTAATAAACATTTAACAATGCTAAACAAAAAAAAAAAATCTTCCAACAATAACACATCCTCTCTCTCTCTCTCTCTCTCTCTCTTATATATATATATATATATATATTTATATTTATATAATGACTATAAATTTAAAACTTTGAAACCAAGACTTGCACAAAAATTCCTTCATATACATACCTAATTTCCAATCTACTCAAAAGAACCTTGTAACACTCAAACCTTTTATTATATTATTTATCAACAACCGTTCATTTTCAAGAATTCACCATGCTACAAGCTAATTTCACAATTAAATTTCCTTTTCAACCTTCAAGATAAGTTTATAGATCAATAACACCCATACAAACGGTCCATCTTGCAATAATCAATGAAATTTTAGAGAAGTGCCAAAATTATGTAAACTCTTCTAACATGTATTTCATCAAATACCTTGTGGGCATGAACCTTTAAACTAATGCCCACATCTCCCTCATCAATTTCACTTTTCAAAAATTTATTAGCTTCAATAATCAAATCAATTTCAACTAAAACTCAAACGATACCATCAACATCTTCTTTTGTTACTCCAATTTTCAACTTAAATCAAGCTTTTCCTTTACACCCAAACATATACAGTCAGGGGTAGCAATAATAGAGGAGAAGAAAGCAACTTCCATCATAAACTCACGCACATACAAAAGCGAGGAAGGGAGATGGAAATTTTTTTTTTTTTTTTTTTGACTCATCATAAAGGTAGCAGAGGAACGAAGAAAGGAATTCAAAGCTCCCTAGCTCCAGATCAATATCAACAGAACAGGAAAGAGAAGAAGATTCAGCCACACGAAAATGAAGGTAAATGAAGTCGGTGACACTAAAGAGGAAAGAAGAACAGCTCGCAAAAAAACCCTTCAACTCTAGTGGATTTAGTTCCTCACACATCCACCGGCAACGTACTGTCTACAATAAGGGGGGCAGAGCAGAGAACGAAAGAGGAGGAAGATTTTGGAGCAACCACACAGCAACACAGATGAAGCTCACGCACCTGTCAACGTAGAGCTAACTAGGGAGGAGAAATGACAGAGGACGCCGGTGAACAAGCTGGAACTGGAGAAGGACACTGGAATCGGAGAAGAGCAGAAGCTGAGAGTTCTGGATTTTTCTTCCTCTCTCCTCTGGTATATGTCACGAATGTCAACAAGAAAAGGGAAAAAATCTGCGGCGGGCAAAATGATAATTTAGGAGGTTGGAGATATAAAATAATGCTCCATCGAGGTTCGAATTTAGCATCTGTAGGTGAGTAAGCAACATGACTTTCATTAGACTAAGACTCCTTTTAATATATTTTCTCCAAAAATTAATAAAAAAAATCAAAATATTTAAAAATAAATTTTAATTTTTATTTAGACTCCAAGGTTATCTCTCTCTCTCTCTCTCTCCACACATATTCATATTCTCTCTCTGTACTATAATATAGGGCACTTTTTAAAATCCTTATTTGGTTCATAATATAGGATATTAGATAATTTTTATATTATTTTTTTAATTATACCTCTCCTTCATTTATTACTATTTTTTAAAAAAAATACATTAAAATTTCAATTGTTATTATTGATACTCTCATATAGAGTATTTAATGAGGATATAATTAAAAATGTAAAATATTTCAAGGAATTAATGTTTACCCTAAGTTTTTTTGAGATTTGTGAACTAGTTACTAATATGTTATTTATAGTTTAGAGGGAGTGTATATACTCTAAGTAGAAAGCACGTTTGAAGGAGTAGCCTTCCATAATGTCACAATTCCAAAGTTGTCCTCACTAATGATGTCATTGAAGAGTTGAATGAGTTGGAATTCAAAATTGGAATTCAATGCTCCTTCTGGTCCCTTTTAAATGACCCTGTTAACTATTTTTATAAGATTAAGAAAATTAGTTCCGATTAGTTTCATGTAAATTTTATTTTTACAATTTTTGAAAATCACCCTTTAATTGATAGATTATAGCTCATTAGGGAAGGAAGAAAGGATTGGAAAAGCTATCTATTAGGCTAAGAGTTAAAGAGATGAGAACATTTTTTTTTGTGACAAAAAAAATTTAAGTGAGCCCAGTCTTAAAAGTTCACCAAGACTAGAGCATGCCTTTAGGCTCAAAGAGTTCTTATAAAAATGCTTACTAATTACTCAAGTTGTGGAGTTTGGACATTTATCAAGGAGGACATTTTTCAAAATCAGTTATAAATGTTTTATTAAATTTTGTAAGGATTATTGTTTTAAGAATCAATGGATATGATATTGTAAATAGGACCAAAAGGAATAAATAATTCTACTTAAGGGGAACTGACAAGTAAGGATCTAAAAAGAAAATTAATGTCAAATTAGGATCTTTTCACAATTAAAGTTTACAAGTTCAGTACTATTTCTTCTATGTTTTAGTATTAACAATCTCGATTTGAGATCAATCTTCTTATGAGGTCTTACTTGTCATTCTTCTTAGCTCCTGGCTTATTGTTTGGAGCCCAATATTTGAAAACTTTTGTTCAAATTTGGTCCACGTTGATATAATATATATGTTCATGGATTTTTAAGATCAAGTTCTCACATGATTAAGCTTAAATTCTACATGCAACATAGCTTTTTCAAGTAAAGGACAATTTTATTAGGGGTCAAACAACAAGAAACATTAAGAATGGAGCGAAATCAACATAATAAATTGATTTAATACAAATATGAATGGTCCCATGCATATTTTCTAGAAAGAGGTGAAGAGAGGGAGGGGTAGATAATTGGCACTCTCTCTAGTCCTATATATATATATATAAGTCACATTCCTAGAAAAATTGATGCTCTTTATTAATCATCTCTTTGAATAAAAAGATAGACTTTTAATTGTTATTATTTTCAACTTCACCTTTTCTATTAGTCAATTTCTTTCTTATTTTTTCCCCAAAAACACATCAATACTTTAACTACTTCTTTTTTGAATCCGGTGATGTAGTTAACAATGATTTATATATTGAATCAAACAAAGTAAAAGAGAGTATAATAATTTGGAAAAAAGAGAGGATCAATTGGCTTTGAATTTCTTAAACAACAATAATTTCATAACATAGGGAGTACACACACACAAACATGTGAAAGCAGTACTTATTCATGATACCCCTAAAAGGAGAATACATTTACACATAAGTGGAAAGCACTCTTATTCCAACATACACACATATAATATAAGCTTTATTTAGGTTTCTAGCGATGAACATGATCACCAGCAAATTGGCAGTGGGTGGCTTGTTGTTTGGTGGTGACTTGTATTTTACTGGAACCTCATCATGTGCTTCAGTTTTAGACTCATTCTCTAGAGTTCTTAGCAACTTGACTCTTAGTGGAGATTATTTATTGGCGGTGGTCGGAGAGGTGGTTGTTTGAAATCCCTATGTGGTATTGGTGTTCCACCAGATAGAGGCCATTTGTGTTGGTTGATTGAAGGCTTTGCATAGCAAGAGAGGTTGCTGGGATCAGAAATAACTCAATAGAAACCAAAAGCAAAACTAATAACAATTTGGCAAACATCTTAATTGCTTAGGGTTTATTTCTCTTTGGTGTAGAATGTAGTAGCATGGCTAGGAGTTCTTGGACCTTTATATATTGTTGCAACTAGCAAATTCCCATGCTGTCACAAACATGTTTGAAAAAAGTTTCAAGGGTCATGACAGTTATTTTCAATGTTGAAGAACTAAGCAGGTATTCAATTGGTAAAGATAATGGTGTATGGTAGAATTGATTTTAATTAAAATAATATAAAATTTAAAGAAGATGAATGCAAAATAAAATATTTAAGATAATTTTTTATGAGCAAATATATAAGATAATGTTTATTCATACTTCTTATAATACTTGGCAAGTTTATGGTTAATCCCACCAACATTATATAAAAATACTAATTTCTTTCATCTCAAATTACCAAGATTTAGTCTAAACTTTTCAATTTCAAATAATTATTATGATTAACTAACTTTCTTAAACTATGATAGTGCATTAACATTTGTTTATATTTACAAATGGAGGGAGTGTATGTCACATTAATTGTATAACCAAACTAACACACAAGCTTTCATAATTAATAAAAATTACAATTGAATCATCATCATCATATACATATACATATATATATATATG